CAAAATAACGGGGCAAGTTATCGATATTTAAAGCAAAACTCGATATGCGCGTGCTATACACGGACCTAGGAAACAAAATTTTAAGTCTCTAGCTCTTATATCTTCTGAGATCGACGCGTTCAAACATATGGACAGACAGACAGACGGACAGGGTCAAATCGACTCAGCTCGTCGCCCTGATCAAGAATATATATACTTTGTGGGGTCTGCGACGCTTCCTTCTGCCTGTTACATATGTACTTTTAACAAAACCATTATACCCTGATTTCCCATTTTCAATGGGTTCAGAGTATAAAAACTTTAGAATCAGAGAATATACAATTGTATATATTATATCCTGAATGAAATGAATGGCTATTATGATTTTGCAAAAGGGCATGGAACACCTAAAAGACGGGAGATGAGGTGAGTTAACTCAAGCTATTTCCTAACTATAGACAATTTGCGCCAGTTTGATTTTTTTGCATCACTTCAAGATGTAGAGAGATTTAAAATTAATTACGCAGGAATTAATGAATATAAAGATTGTTTACTTGAAATACGAGAGACTTAAGCTAAGACCAACAATGAATTCCATTATTACGTTCTTTGAGTCTGATGAGTAAGATCCATCTACAAGAAATGTTACTCACCCAACAGAGCACATAGCAGATAGCTGCTAGCAGAGTAGGCTCAGGGCACTGTTATTTACCGTGGTCTATTCGAGACTGCTCGACTATGAAGTACCATGAGCCCACACACATACGCATACTCTACTATCAGTTATCTGCTATCTGCTCTGTTGAGTGAGTATATACATACATATGTACGTATTAATTATAGAATTGTTTGCTGAGGATATGTAGCATGCTGTTCATTGAGCAGATCTGATGATAGCTGCAAAGGCTTTGGTGGCAACGACGCCATTGGCATATACTTGGCCAGATACGGGGTCAGCAGCTCCATTGGCAGTGGGAACACAATAGTTGAGTTCTTCTCTGCTGAAATGCTGCTCAGCGTTTGCAGATATCGAAGCTGGAAATACGAAAGCGATTGTCAAACACATTCGATCATTGAGAGCTGACTTGACCCACCTGCAAAGCGGATGGACTGGAGGAAATGACATCAGAGGCTTCCTTAAGGGCAGTTGCTGACTTCTTTTCGCCTTCGGCGGCAATCACCTTGGCGCGGGCATCGCGTGACGCCTCCGCCTCGGCGGCCATCGCGCGCTGCATAGAGGCGGGCAGCGATACATCCTTGCTGCAGGGAGAAAGCAGGCGATTGGTTAGCGTCATGTGGCTCTTTGGACATCGATTAGTGGCTTACATTTCTACACGCTCCACCATGACGCCCCAGGGCTCGGTTGCCTCGTCCAGGGTTAATTGCATGTTGTGGGCCAGGGTCTCGCGCTCGGTAAGCAGCTCGGTGAGATTGCGTGTGCCCACAATGTTGCGCAGTGTGGTGGCAGCCAATAAGCGGGTTGATGTGCTATAGTCCTCCACACGCACTATCGCGTACAGTGGATCATGGATGCGATAGTAGACGACTGCATCTACAGTCACCGTAACCGAGTCCTTGGTCAGCATCTCCTGCTGCGGCACATTGAAGGTAACCGTGCGCAAATCCACCTTGCGGTACTGATCGATGCAGGGCAGCACGAAGAACATGCCCGGACCACGGGGACCGCCGCACAAACGGCCCAACCGAAATATAATCGCACGCTCATACTCGGCCACAATCTTCAAGCAGAAGAACACGGAAATCGGGCACGTCAAAATGAAGAACAGCACTGAAAGCGTTATCACTATCAGTTCCATGCAGCCTAAGGGCTCGTTCTCAGCTGCAATCACAAGAGCAATCAAGGGCGATTTATGACTCACTCGGTCCTATGAAATGCATTCAGTTTATTTTGTTTTGCTTTGCCTCTTTAATGAAAAAGTTGCATGCAAATAATCTTCATGAAGCTGATTCATCAAATAGCAAATGGCCCTGTCTGTACAGGTTAGATGATACTTTCAACGGATTGAGGGCTCTTGTTTCAGAAAGACAATATTAAACAAGTATGAAAACTCTAGTCGAGATTGCTCGACTACATACTACCCTAATACCCAACTAATAAAAATGCCCTTTAGTATGGCTAAAATTTCAATTTCGGTGTATTTAAAAATATTAATTAAATAGAAAACTCATTTATGAAAATATACAAATATTTTGAAACAATTAAAAAATT